GTTTCAAGCTCTGGCCCTAACTGAAAAGGGCCATTTTTGATCTCATCTTCACTTCTCATTAAGGGCTCAACCTTGTTTGAGCCCTCCATAATACACTTGCTTCAATGATCCTCTTGTATGTCATAGTTTTGCATGCTTTTTTTGACCCATGAGAAATTTGTTTTCAAGCATGTTTTAAACTGATATAAGGCTTATTTTGATCCCCTCTTCAACATTTGAGAAGGGCTCAACATTGTTTGGTATTTCCATGTGTCACTTGTAGTTATATCCCCTATTTGGCCCCATTTTTGCATGAGGTGATAGCCCTCTTGGTTTCTGTTTTTGGACCTTGATCCGAACTGAAAGTGGTCTTATTTTGGCCTATACTTCATGTTTCATTCACACTTTTTTTCTGTTTGGTGATTGTTTTATACACTTCATGTTTTAGTACCTTTTGAGCCTTATTTTGCATCATATTTTTAGCATGTTTTTATACTGATTTTGAGGCTTCCATATACTGTAAATGTTCATATTTTTGGTCCATCTTCAGTGTTGTAGAAGGAAATTTTTCAGTTTGGGTTTTTCTTGTATCACTTGCTTCATTACCCCTCTTTTGGCCCCTATTCTTGCATGCTATTTTTCCCCTACCTATACTTGCTGTTTGGCCATGTTTATAACTGTGAAAGTGCATCTTTTGGGACTGTCTAGCTTCTGTCTTTGCATTGCATGTCCATGTTGTGCATGTTTGGCATAGCTATAGGCCATTTCGGGTGCCTAATGTTGCATTTCGGGACATTTCCTTGCATTTCATGTCATTTTGCTTCATTTCGGGACTGTTTTTCCCCATATTTTAGTGCTGAAATTCCATTAGTATGCTTGCATATCATTTTTGCCATATTTCATCACCTTTTAGCATCGCCTCGGTTTGCGTGCCCGTGTGCACGCATTTCGAGGCACTTCTTTTTTTATCCGACGGCATCTTATGTGAGTGTGGCTGAGGCTCTCTCATGTTAGTATAAGTCCATGTTGCATTTTCCATGTCATTCGCATCATTTTGCCATTGCCTCGATTTGCGTGCCTGTGTGCACGCATTTCGAGGCACTTCATTTTCTGCCACCGGCATCCTATGTGAGTGTGGCTGAGGCTCACTCATGTTGGTATAAGCCCATTTGTCATTTCCATGTCATTCGCATCATTTTGCCATTGCCTCGGTGTGCGTGCCCGTGTGCACGCATTTCGAGGCACTTCATTTTCTGCCACCGGCATCCTATGTGAGTGTGGCTGAGGCTCACTCATGTTGGTATAAGCCCATTTGTCATTTCCATGCCATTTCATCATTGCCTCGGTTTGCGTGCCCGTGTGCACGCATTTCGAGGCACTTCTTTTTTTATCCGACGGCATCTTATGTGAGTGCGGCTGAGGCTCTCTGATGTTGGTATAAGTCCATTTACCATTTTCCATGTCATTACATCATTCCGCCATTGCCTCGGTTTGCGTGCCCACGTGCACGTATTTCGAGACACATATCGTTGCCTCGGTTTGCATGCCCGCGTGCACGTATTTCGAGACACATATCGTCGCCTCGGTTTGCGTGCCCGCGTGCACATATTTCGAGACACATATCGTCGCCTCGGTTTGCGTGCCCGCGTGCACGTATTTTGAGACACGTATCGTCGCCTCGGATTGCGTGCCCGCGTGCACATATTTCGAGACACATATCGTCGCCTCGGTTTACGTGCCCGCGTCCACATATTTCGAGACACATATCATCGCCTTGATTTGCGTGCCTGTGTGCACGCATTTCGAGACACCTCATTTTCATAGCATTGTGTTTGTTAGGATTGCATCTTAGTTGCATTTCGTGCATATTGCATCATGTCCGGAATAGGAGTTAGCCCGGGCACGGGAAACGAGGTACATTTCGTACTCCGAGTAACGGAATATGTCTCAATTCCCCAGTCACCGACACTCCGGATTATCCATGATGGAGTTAGGTTTTAGCTGTAGTTTCATGTGCATTCATCCTATATTGAGTTGTGCATTTCGACTCCTCGACCATCTTATTTTATTTATTAAGATTGGTGGCACGAGGATCGAGACATGCATACATCTGTGCAAATACATTGCTATGCCCCTTTCCTGCTCTCTGAGCCTTATTTTGCATT